GACTATGACACCCGAAAACTCGCAAATATGATAGATCCTTTAGACTTCCGAGTATAAATATCTTCAGCAACGGTTGCTTTGCTTTTCCCACATGGAACCCTCTGAAAGACAAGACGCCCAATGAGTGGGAACCCCCAGCGAATTTTCGAACAAACATCTCATTCATCAACTCCCGCTGGTTGTTTACTCTCGCATCTCCTCCCCCCGGTGGTCATCCGGTAGACGTAGGGTAGACAGATGATGTGTCGAGGGGACGAATGACAGATGACCCTTTACCTACTGACCTCTACTTGGAAGATGATAGCAGGTAAATATAGGGTGCATCTGGGAGACTTTATTTGCCTAGAAAACAGACTTCTCCGTAGCGGAAGAGGTATACGATAAACTCCCAATTATCCGTGTGCAAATTATCCGTTTTGTGGATTATTTGTGCATTATCTCCCCAAAACGCTATCAGGTTGGTGCATAAATATATATTTTTTTAAACTTTTTGGAAGAAACTAATGATTTTTAATGAAATGAATTCTGTTTCATTCATGGATCAAGAATGTCGACCCCTAGTTGGAAGTATCTGTCAAAGAAAGCAAAAGCATTAAAATACTCTCCGCTATACTAAAGTCTGAAAATGTAAATAGGCATCATAACTTTTATCAGTTGTCTGAATGAATGTTAACTTAGATCTCAAAAAGAGGAAAATAATACATTTTTTCCCAGCCAAGAAACAACAGAACATGTGTATAAATTTATAGTTATTATTAAATTATCTTTATGCTGTATGTAACTCATTTAAAGCTGAAGAGAATTCATCTTTTAATGATATCCGTGAAATAAATTCAGTTTTGAAAGGTCATCGTTGGATTATCAATGCATTTTTCATTTATTCGTGTATATCCTCCTTGAGTACCACAGGCAATCGTGAGTTCAGTTTATTTATGTGCATATTTTTTTCTGAAAATTCAATCATAAAAGTTGATTGATAGAATAATAATTGAAAAATAATTTTACTCCTAAACTTCCAAAATTCTGCCAATTACCGAGGGTGTTAACACATTTTTAGGACCATTTTGGAGCCGTTTAATTAATATTTAGAATGTAAAAAGCTATTTTTTTAACTCATTTGCCTGACAGCCTTTTTTCTGGACTATAAGTTTGCATTATGATTTCTATAAGGGTTTTTCGTAAAATATCCAAGGATATTAATTTCCATTCTTCTTCCGCTACTTTCCATAGTCCATCAATTGTGATGGGTTTGCCGTTAGAAAGAGCTGTTTGCAAGAGACCAAAGGCACAGTAGCCCATAAGTGAAAGTTAAGGGACTTCGCAAAAATACAACGAAAAGGTATTATAAGGTATTTCCTCCCTCCTTCCTGCATGCTTTCGTGGTGTAACGGTTAGCACACTCGGCGCGTATTCGAGAAGTCCAGGTTCGAGTCCGGGCGAAGGCACTATTCATTTTTCATGTCCCCTGCTTCAGACTCCTAATGACTCTGCAGTATATGTACAATACTTGCATCAGGATTAATTTTTTCAAGGTATGTAGTGGTACGGTTCGTAGTATAACTTTTCACTTTGCCTTGATGAAATTTCACTTTTTGAAACCCACTGGGATAAAGAAACGGAAATTCTTTTGTAAATATCGGACGTTAAACTTTCTCTTGATAATAATTTGAGTTGATTTTTCCTGCTAAATAGTTGTCATACGTGTTTTTTGAAAATCGTTCTGCCTTAAGCCACATGTCTCGGCAAAAGCTGGTGAGGCATTATGTTTTTTAGTTGTTTAATCTTGGTTTTTTTATTTTATTTATTGTTACTAGAGATGTATTTAATGACTTTTCTGAGGCAGCGGAGTTTCTCTTGTTACTAGCTATTTAACTTCGCAAAATATCATAAAAAATTACATACTATTTTTAATGTTTTCGCAAAAAAGTTACATACTATATAAAACATTAAAAATAGTATGTAACTTTTTCGAGTATTCGTTTGGAGACTTCTATTCATGCAGAAGTAATGACTGACGGATTTTCCCTCTTCAATTAATAATGTTGTTTATTTTAAAATAAAAATAATATCTTTAAAAATTTTAATTCCATGTATTTCAAACCATTTTTGAATTATGGAATAGGAATTTTTCTCTTCGGAAAACTCAAAAATAACTTTTGCAATCAATGTTTATATGCGACATTTTGAAAGAGGAATAAATTAAAAAAAAAATCAGATGCATTTTAAATAATAAACTGTTGTCAGATATTTTTATTCCAAAATATTTGCTTTTTTCTTAATTTCTTATTGAAATATTCAAAAAATGTGTGAACGCCATCTATATACTTTAAGATGCAATAAAATAAGAAAATTCCAAAATTATTAACCCTGAGAAAAGTTATAAAAGGGTTTGGTGTTAATTGTAACTTCCCTTTCTTGATGCATGTTCTTATTCTCATCGCTCAGGCGGCCGATAAAGAATTTTTTTCAACTAAGTTGTTTCAACTATGTTGGTGGTCCAGAGACTTGTCTCCCGAATCCTTGCTTCATATGTGGCCAAGTTTCGTTTACCTTAGAAATTTGATACGTTTGTCACGGGTCAAAAATGACTGAACGACTGTTTCGAATGGTCATTTCCGAATATCTGTTTTGTCCATCGCAGCAAATTGGTGTACACCTATTCAGCTTAAGATCTTTTCGATAACCATATGAGGAGATTTGCTCCGCTGATAATCGTGTTCCCTAGAAATATGATCACGCATCTGTAGCAACTCTGGAAATAAAAGAAATGAAAAGAAATATATAAATAGGAATAATGCAGAAAGCCTTATTTAGCACAGAGTTCTTTCATCACTAGCTTGCTTCAAAAATGACGACAGCATGTTTTCTACAAACGGTCCTATTGTTTATAAAAGCGTATTACTTCAACATTGATTGCAGTATAGTCCCAGAGATAATATGGACCAATGCTGCATTGAAAACTTGGAAAAAATGGAAAGGCTGTATTTCTGAATCACATAATATCGAAGATTCGACATTTTATATGGTGCAGTACCACATTTAAGCTTTCTTTGCTGACTAACCGATGACTTTTCTTAGTAAATTACTCACGTAGTCAATCTTGCATATCCCCAGTATTTTTCCTAAGAAATCTGCCTCATCAGTGAACGAATGATTAAGACTGTTGAATACTGGAAGTTAGGTCTGAGTTTGAACCCAGGTAAACGCCTGGCAGCATGGTTAGTTTTTGTGGTTTTCCGTATGTGTAGCACGATACGAGTCAGTTTCTCCTAGGACGTCCTCCATGAAGGCCTCCCTCCCTTAAACTGATAGCCCTTGTGACGTCACCGCCTCGAGTGAGGAAAGAGAAAAATTTAGCACTGAAAGAGCGTAATCTTGCCTTATTTGTTATCATAGTCAGGATGCAAGCTGGAGAGATATGGCTTTAAAGTGCGTATCTTAAAGTAAGAAACTGCAGTTTGAATGGCAGGCTTCTAGCTGCAATATTGAAAGACATATTGCAGTCAGAAACGTGTTTCGCGCACACATTCGTAGTATGGCGCTGGGTCTAGGAAGAAAGTGGGCATTCCCGTATGTCAACCAATCAAAAGAATATTCTGGTTCTCTATGATATACTTAGAGTTCTTTATATTCCTGAGAGGAAAACGTTTCTCAGAAAAGTCTGTAATTGCTTTTCTCATCCGATGGTCTGATAAGGCCATTAAGGAAGTTTCCATATCCTACTATATTCTTACAATATCATTTTAATTTAACACCATTAGAAAAACTGGGCGATCCTCCTGCGCTATGGCTATGGTAAAACAGCGTTTGAGAACAGTGTTGCCAGATATAAATTTTAGTTTAAAGTATAACTAGTAAAAAGAAAGTTATAACTATATAAAATGGTATATTAGTTTACATTAATATAATATTAAAATTAAATAAACTGATATTTAATGAGTATTGATGGCCATGTCTATAATGTAAAATATTATTACCTAATAATCCTCAAAATAACTTACAGACGTCTTCTAGTATTCTTGAAGTAATGGTAGAAGACCTCTTTTGATATCCATCGTAGACAATTATCCTGTTGTTTTGGATTTTGGATAGTTTGTGAATATTCTGAAAAGATTGATTCCGTGCCGTCATCTTGATAAGAACGTATAAAGGGGAGGAAAGGTTAGAAATCAAAATATAAGATAGTTTAGGCAAGACAGAGATCTGCTTTTGATCAAGAAATCTAATCTTCACTCAAACATGATTTACTCGAAATACAGCATCGGACTGAACCAGTCAAAAGCTGTTTTAACTCTCTTTAATGAATTCTAGGCCATATTTTGGAAAGATTTCCAAAAAAAAAAAAAAAAACTGCGTATAATTTAATTACTCCTTTGTTTAAAAGATTTATGGAAAATTCATGCAATATGCGAGAAACTTTCAGAATTGAATAGTTAAAGATTAGAAGATATTGGCATATCTTCTTTTGAATAAATATCTGAAAGTGATATCATTTAGGACAGCGTACGTCATTTTGCTGTGCAAATGGAATTAAAACTACTACTGACCATTCGGTCTGATGTCATAGTTCGAGTAAATTGCATCTGAGTGAAGAACGTTGGATTTCTTGATCAGAAACAAATCCTTATCTTGCTACAGCTTCCTTATATGCAAGATTTTTCATCCTGTCACCTGTTCATCATTCTGTTCTTTGTTTTCGATATGACTCCAACAGGATCAATGTTCTCAGACTATTCATAAACTATCTAAAATTACGCGACAACCTGTTGTATGTATATGACATATATGTCGTATGTGTATGATAACCTGTGTATGACGAATATCAAAAGAGGGCTTCTACCATTGCTTCTAGAAATGCTGGAAGACTTGTGTTAGGTATTTTGAAGATGATTAAGTAATGATACTTTACATTTTAGATCGAGTACTTACTACACAAGCATTTTATAACTGGTTGCATGTTGTGTTTTAATGATTTTCTCAGGAATATTATGAATACGAACCAGGTTGTTTTAGAAATGTCCAGGTCCTCCTTGATGATATCCACCTTCTTTGGTACATAGCCCTGTGTGTGCTTTTCTCTGTTCAGATAGCCTAAAATTCATCTGAACATGAGCCTAATAATAACACGAATATAATTTTTAATTCGTTAAATAAAATAATGCAGAAAATTCAAAATGCTATATAAGACCAAATAAACTAAATAAATAATAATAATAAAAAAAAAAAAAATTGCAGAAAAATCCAAAATAAGAGACCAAATAAATTGTGGAAAAGAAGACAATAATAAATATTATTTTGACTTAAAATGTGCCAGTTGGAAAGCAATCGGAAAAAAATCCTTTAACAATATAAATTTTTTAAATCAGGTAACGGAAGGTTTTGATAAAATATTTGTTGATTATTGGCTTATGAAGCAGGTATGGTGGAATTACAACTTGGTCATATTAAATCATCTGAAGTTCACAGACTCTTTCAGTAGGAGAATCCCAAAATTGTAGTAAGAATCGCACAAATGCTATCTGTATATCGCTATAATTAGAAAGATTTCTCAAAAACATGTAAATAACAAATTTTCTGTAGATGGCACAGCATAGAATTTGAGATGATAGAAGAAAAATGCATGGTGCCAACAAAAGTTAACCAGCTGTTAATTTCTATAAGTGTTTTAAGTTACAATTTTTTACTTCCTTGTACGAAGTAAAAGAAGTAATGTAATCGCGAAAATTTCGGGTATCATATTTTAAAGAACTTGTCCATTTCGGTCGCTCTCGAATCCATTTGAAGCATGTTTCTACGTGACATCTGTACGTGCGGACAGCCATCAAATTTTGAATATTGAAAAAAATCCTTTAACCCAAATTTGAAATATGGAATTTCTTTTATTATCGCTTTTATATTTTGTCAAACTTTAACGAATTTTTGATTAACAAACTCAAGGATTTCAAAGCGAACAATGACAATGTTGTACAGAAAAAACATTTTTATCTCCAACGCGCGAGACAGTGTATCGGAAATTGTAAAGATATGCTTATTTTAAAATTATTTATTATTAAAATTTAAAATTATTTATTATTTATTATTTTATTATTAAAATGAATTTAAAATTGATTTTTAGAAGTTTTTTTTTTTTTTTTTAGAAGTTTTTTTCATCTCGCATAACTCAAGAACGAGTAGCCGTAGAATCTTGAAATTTTTTATATGGGGCTGCTATAACATGTAGCTGTACACTTCCTTTTTTCTTAGCAATCGGCAGCACTAAACATATATATGTAATAATTTAGATGCGTAGTCGTGCTGGCAGAGTGGCAAGACGAGACGAAGACGACGAAACTTGGATTACCATAAATCACCAGTCTTTACACATATCCAATTAATTTGGCAGACACTTATTCAGTCATAATTAAATATTATAAATTTCCATGTACATTAGTTTTTTAAAGAAACATCGTAGGCATTCGAGACGGGGAAGCAAAGCAACGTGCATGTTGGGGTGGCGAAAGCTAAGGAAAGGAATGGGAAAATGAGGTAGTTTTTTGCGCAAAGAGTATTTATACTAAGTCTGATATAATTGTAGAGACAAGTTATGATTGGCTAATTTGAGGTTGTTACATAACATAGAAGGATCTCAAATTTGGAAGAACAGATGAATTTAGGGGGAAAAAACCAAATCTAGAATCGTTAATTTTGAGGTCACCAGTTATTTTTAAAGCAGTTATCGTATTTTCTTATATCTATCGCTATTTCTTATATCTTTATATCTATCGCCTTATATATATATATATATATATATCCACTCTTACACGGCTCAATGAGCTCGGCTTTTTCAGGTTTTTTAATTCTTATATATTGGTAAATTGTCCATTTTTTGCTTTAAAAGTGACTGACTTATTCTCATGTTCCGGTTAAAGTGTCTTTGCCTTTAGATAATATTCATGCAATAGTTGTACAATTATCAACAGTTTAAAAGTTTGACTTATTCTCATGTTCCGGATAAAATGTCTTTGCCTTTAGATAATCTTCATGCAATAGTTGTAGAATTATCAACAGTGTAAAAGTTTAAGTGGTGCTGCTAAGCCTAACGAGGCCGCCATTTGTTTACAATTGAAACTCTTAGTAGAATACTGAATTAAGTCAGTTGTTGCACCAACGTCTGTGTCTTTTCTCTATATTACAACTTTAATCTTCACACCAGATTTTTTTCAATTGCAAGTCATAAAAACTCTATAAAATTAAATTCATGCTTTTTAAAAAGGTATGAAAGCAGTTTTGCATGATTTTGTGCCCCAAGCAGTCAGCCTATAATATTTGGAAAATATATAACTTATTAACTGAAAAAACCAGTTTTATGAGAAGAAAGTGTCAAATATTAAAAATGGTCGAAGTAGATGACTACGAAACAAAAACTATGAAACAAACTATGACTATGAAACAAAAAGAAATTATTACGAATTATTTAAAACTGAAATACGTGCTTCTTCTGATCAATTACTAAGATTTTTAATTAGGAGGACAAATTAAAGTATTGTTATCGATTTTCTAGAACACAATTAATTTTCTTTACTTGTTCTTTGTTTCGCATAGGACCAGTTTGAACAATACGATATTTTTTAAGAATCTAGGAAACGACACATAATAAAAACAATCGTATTTATAATATGAAATGATTTTCTTACTTTGTTAACATGTCAGTTATGAGCTGCAAACGTTTTAAAAATATTAAGCATACTGAGAAATGTAATTGATCATTTAATTACAAACTAATGCTAAATTACTAATTAACTCAATTAATTAACAGTAATACTATATTAATCATTTATCATCACAGGTAATATTAACCGCAGTTATACCTTACAATTAAATAAAAGCGGAGATTAGAAGAACTGGTCGTATTTTTTCCTCTTTCATAACATTTTTATTTTTAACAGAGGCAAAATCTTAATTTCCTGGCTCGTGCCACAGACGACAGGAACAGATGGTCGACCGCAAAAATGATTTTTATTGGTTAACGGCACCCGCCGTCTCTTGGCAGCTTGCCAAATCCGATTCCGTTACAGCACAAAGAATAAAATGCAGCGAAAAGGACGAAACCGAGTTCGCAGTTGTTGATCTCTTTACCTTGAAAGATATAGGGCTACTGCGAATAGTTATTCTTTTTTCTTATTGAAAGAAAAAAAAAAAAAAAAAGGAAGGGGGGAATCTTGCAATGGAGTAAAGCAATTTTAAATGTTGCCTAATACTGAACATATGGTTTCCGTATTCATGCCAGTCTAAGATAAGAAGCTCAAAATTTTCTTTTTCGGTACTATTCATGTCTCATATTTTTCATAATTTATTCCCTAAAATTTATTAGCTAGTCAAGTACTTAAAAGTCTATAACCAGCTATCTAATTTAAAGATAAATTTCTGAGGCGAAAGCTGAGCTGATAACCATTAATCAAATCTTAAGTTGTAATTAAACTAAAAGACAGGAAATAAGTTAAAAATAATTATGTCATATTAATTTATTTCGCAATTTCAATCTCGATATTAACATGCAAGACAAATTTAGAGTTTTTTTTTTTTTTTTCCGAGAGAGAGGAGAGGCTAAAATAAAATGGTTCTACTTGCTGAACCTGATGGCTAAGCCTTTTGCTTCAATTATTTTTTTTCCCACTGTCACTTAAGTTACATTATTTATGCGATTCAATAAATTTTAAGAACTTTTTTTTTATCTAATTACAGCAGCAGAATAGAATGATATACCATTAGACTGTCAATGAAAATGTATAATATTTTGGGGAGTCTAGATTTTTACTTGTTGTGAATTCCAGCTATACCAGATACGTATATTCGATGGCTTCTTTCTTGATGGTGTTATAAGTGTGAAATTAAATTGTTTGAGAAACTAACTTCGGTTAACTTGTTGCTTTATCGGTAATGGCAGAATTCTCACTAACTTATATTGTATTTTAGGCTTTAAAATTGAAAGCCATGACTATTTTACCAATGGATTTCTTCCATAAAATCATTTTAATTTACATGCACAAATAACTACCGGCGGCTGAGTGGTTAAAAACACTGAAATTTTAGCAGCTTGACACATGCTCAAATTACGGCGAACTGGCTGCCTGCATGAACGTTTTCGTTGTTTCTCCCAATATTACAGTATTACTTGTTACAGGTTTGCTCTTCCCACCCAGATATCTTTGGGCGAGTGACGTCACTGGCTCATAATCTGCTCAACAGAAACTACTGTTTTTGTGTTTTCGCTTCTACCACTTCGAAGTCAAGTGATGTCACTGAGCTCGAGCTATGAGCGCAACCTTATTTGACTACTGACCTTGGTTTTCCCCTTTCGTAACGCGAATACGAATCACTTTATGAGGTATTTCTCCCCACTTTTCTGGCAAGTCTCGTGGTGTAGTGGTCAGCACACTGAGCCGGTATTTCAGAGGTCCGCCGTTCGATTCCCGCCGCAGGCGATTGCTAATTTTCCCTCTTTCCTGCTTCAAAAAAATCCTAATGTCTCTACAACGTTTTCATAAAAAGCACGCCACGAAGACGTCCCTTCCATAGTCTTCAAGTGTTTTTGGCGTAATCTAAGTCACCCAACCTTAACACATCAGAGGCGTAGCTAAAGCTTTTGCCTCCCGGGCTGTCCCTGAATTTGCCCTTTCTTGATATACAAGCAAATACTTTTGTCGAATGACAGATAAGGAAATAAATTAAAATTCTAGCCTTGTTTTTAAAGAAAAACTTTAATTCCAACATTTTAAAATTATATTATTATTTTGCATATTCCTCCTTCTTCGCAAAACAATCGATGACAATTAAGAGGTGTACCCGATTTCTCCAGCTGCTGTTACATAAACAATATAGAAAGATTTCTTAAATGAAAAATAAGAATTTTTAGGTCTTAAATACTTCTTAAATGATTTTTATTTAGAAAACTCTTCTCACAACTAATAACACTTACAGCAATTGTGAGAATAATTCACGGTGGTATTACAATATTTGGAACTTTAAGATTGCGTTTTAGAACAAAGTGCAAAAATTCAAAAGTACTGCCCTTCCATGTTCCTGTTTTATTTTTTCTAGCAATAACGGAAATAAAATTCTCAAATGCTTTTCTCTGAAGGAGAACTCTTCTTTATCACTGTCAATGTGATCATAATTCAGTTGATAGTCGTAATTTACAATCAAAAGCTTTGATAGAATCAAAATGATAAAACAAGTTGAAATTTCGAGATGATTTCTTTGAATACTTCATTTAAAGCAAAACTATTTTTCTTCTCAATTTATTTCCATATGGCAATCTTATTGTTTTTCACCTACCGCAACAATCCACATGGTTAACTCATATAAAATAATGTTTCATGTGAAAAATGCCATTCGGGGTACGCTGTTCTCTTCGCCCCTGTAGCTGTTGTTGGTTTGCACATAATTTTTTATTATTGTTTAATATCCTACTCTGTGTGCAAAAATAATTTGAAATTTACATTTTTTCTGCATTCAAAATAAGCGGTATTTATCACTCTAAGATAAAATATGGTGCGTTACATACATTTCAAAGTAACGTTTATATCTGCAGAAGTTCGACAGTTCGGCAATTGGGTGCCCCTTGGTTTTTGGCGATTCCTTTTTGACGCCAAGACCGGCACCAGGAAGGCACAATTTCAAGATGGTCGCTACACAAAACCAAAATAAGAAGTCAAAAAATTGCACAAACTCTGTGTCCATTTACACATCGATCTGTTTTCGCTTAAAAAAAAAAAAAAAAAAAAAAAAAAAAAAAAACCCATCCTAGAATTGCACAAACTAGGCATTGCGCACTGCCTGAAATTTGTCCATGTACACATCAATCTATTTTCATTTAAATAAAATCAGGAAGCTAAAACAAAGTTAAAACTATCATGGTAACCAGAAGTGAGGTTTCATCGCCAAAAATTAAAAAAAAAAAAAAAATTGCCGCTAATCGAAGGGGCACCCAATTCTACACTAAAGCCCTGGCATCCTATTAAATTTACAAACGTGTAAGGTTATGTGTTAAAATAACCCAGTTACCGTTTAGTCTATTTTCAGCAACTTCGACTAGAATGCAGATTAATTAAAGTGCAAATAAGCGACAAATTCTTGAGTTTAGGAAACCAGTTTTTGATAACCGTAACGTAAACGTAATCTCTTTCACTTCCCTACTCTTTGAATTAGTCTATAAGCTTTAATTTCGGCTGACTGCAATTGCTTGGCGAGTACTTGAACCTCAGCTTATTAGTAGCAGCTATTATTTAGGTTCGTTTTAATTCGTATTTCAGCATTCAGTTTGATTTGAATGTATGTTCTGAATGTAACTAATGGAGACTGTTTTTCTGTTATACACCCGTGTTTTGCGTAATCGTCAGGGTGACATGCTATTAAATAGATTTAATTTTATACCTTCATACTGAATTTGTAATTTCTGTAGTTCGAAAGCAAGTGGAACAGTAAGTTATATCATTGCTCTTTACGGTTATAGTAGCATTTGCAATTAATGTATTGTATAACCTTACAAATTAAGTTTATGAATCGGTAGAAATCGGCTAAATTTCTTGTTACACGTACCAAGCTATTTACAAGACATTTCAGAAATAGGAAGTTCCTGTTTTATTAATTTTTATAGCAATCGGTTGCAATTTAACGGTTGAAACTTTCAAGTTAATAGTCCTTAAATTGTTTTGAAACTGATGGTTGAGGAAAAGAGGTTAACTACTTGAAAGGGTAATTTTCCCGCTTCTTCTACGAATGCTTCATAGGAGTTTACAAACCATCTGGTGTTCTCCCCCGCATGCAAAATAATAATAGAAAATGCGCATGCGCGGACCCCCCCCCCGGTTCCCCTTTTACTTCATACAATTCTGGTTCGTACTGACATTCCCTTATTTTTTTCCCTTTTTTCAATAGCTCTTCTTTTATACTCTTTGAAGGCATTGTCTTGCTTTTTTGAAGGAGGAATCTTTGTAGAAACTTTTTCCCTCTCTTCATTTCCACCCCCAGACCTTTTTTACACCTTTTTTTCGCATTTTTTTCCGCATATATCCGAGCGCACTGCGTTCCGTTATCCACGTGAACAATATTCTAGCAGTTTTGTCTATTCTCGCACGGGGGTGCTTCTATACACCCATACAACACGCACGTGCGAAAGAACACATACGTTTGTTCGTATGGTTTTGTCGTTCGCGTGCTGACACGTGGCCTTTGTAAGAAAATTTTTCTTTTTCTTTTTTAACTATATCCTTTTTTCCTCAATAAAAACAAATTTACGGATGTCCGAGACCTGTAAGTTTGGTTCCGGACTTAAAAAATATGGAGGTCAATGGATATAAAGTACATTGTTGACGTCTGTTGTGATTTGTTTCGTATTCTTTACAAGAGCTGATTGTGAGAAAAGTATTAAGCGAAATACCGGATATTTAGAGTTTCAAACTACTCAAAAATCAAAAAAAGTATTGTTGGTCTGTAACATGATCAATCAATTCGAGCGGATATATTATAGTCACGCAATAGAAATATCAGATTTTGAGATTATAGAGCGTTTCGAAAAAATAGGTTTGAATGAAAACGTGCAAGATTAGCTTATGACATATGTGGTACATTTCACATATGGTATATAATCGTATGCATCAGGTGTGTCTAAACTTCGCCACACTCCAAGTTAATAGTGCTACATGTTAAAATTCAGTAACTATGAAGAACCATACGTAAATTTACCAAGATCGGCAACTATACAACATTTAGTTCAGGAAAATATATTCCTACTTCCACTTTGATATCAAAGTTTTGCAGTTTTGCATAATGAGTTAGATATTCTATCTATCTTTTT